TTCAAGGGCTGAATCTGGTAAATAATAAATAATAAACTTGAGAGCCCTAAGGCTGATTTTTCCTGGCGGTACTCATATATATAGGTACTGCATGTGCTATCAATTTAAAAATGTTAAAGTTGTAATTAACATTTTACATATATATATATATATATATATTAATAGACAAAACATAAATGCTTACTCATGTGTCCACTAAATTCATTCGTAATGGTCTTTAAAAAAATTGCTTGCAGCGTATAATAAATTCCTCAATACCGTCAGAATGATTTTCTAACGGCATAAACTGCTGACGGTCTTCATAACTTAGTTCTATTGCAATATTGTAAATAAGCATAATGAATATGAAGAAGTCAACAAATATAAATATGTGAAAATAAAAATCTATAATAAATAAATAATTAATACCAGGATACACGTAAGGAGAAGGAAAACTGGTGTTTTGTACTAAGTTTAGATATAGGTACGAATGGGTACGTGTCAAAAATGTAACGATAAATATAATTCGAATTCATAATATAGTCGATACTGTCTAATTGCATACCATCCGTTAGAGACTTTTTAATGCATATAGACAGTATATGCATTTAAATTACAGAATTATAAGAACCATTTTTGTGTTAATAATTAAAAGCCAAAATTTTGTATGCATTTAGAGAGTATATGCAATTAGACAGTATCGATGATCTTTACATATATGATCTTTACATATGATACATACAATTATCTTGAAATGGAATAACAAAGTCGTTGCTATAATATACCTCTGAATCTTGGTCAAATATTGGTTCGGCAGTTTCAAATTCTTGAGAAACTTCAGCAAATGATGAATCAGTTTTTTCTTTTGTGATCGCTGAAAAATTAGATAAAGTAGCAGTATTCAAAGGTTGAGAAGATGAATCTACAGTGCCTTCTTCTTGTTCTTGTTCAAGACTAGAGCATGCTTCATTTGGATGTTTTCTCTTAACCCTCGATTTTTTTTTCATCTCAAATGTTCCATTAGCTTTAAATTTATGCTGATAAGGTTCCATTTTCGTTTTACGTTTAAACTTTCGCCTATCACGAGATTTCGATCCAGGTATATTATCAATTGTGTTGTATTGTTCTTTAGGGGGGTATTGAAGAATTATTTTATTTTTATTAGACAT